AACATGATAAAATGAGATATGGAACTTTTCTCTGATGATTTCCGATGATTTTTGAATAAGTGGTTTCAATACTAAATCCAAGAATTTCGACGGTTTTTCCGTCGAGTGACTGATCCCTGAAACAATTGGTCTTCCTGGACATAGCTTTTTATGTATCTTAGGTAAAATAAAAAGTCCCTACGTAACTTTTATTCGTATCTGAGGTATATGATAAGTATATTATTTCCATTGATTCATCATATACCTCAAGTTAAAATCATTTATACACAAAACAGAAGCATGAATCGAAAACTGGTAAAACCTCTTAAGCCTGCCCCTGCTCCTTAGAAATGACGATTTTCGATGTTGGGATTAATAGTTGATTTTTCAATAACGGACATTTGATAATATGGGATAGGGTCATGTAAATGTGGAACACGGTGTAACCATTCAAATGGACCATATTCAGATGGATTAATGTAATCGGTTTGACAACTTTTTACATTTGCTGAGCCTATATCCAGATCATTTTCTGGCGTTAATGGTATTGTTGATGTATTGATAGTTGTGTAAATTGATTGGTCCTTATTCGAATAGGAATGATCATTTGGCTGTATACATAAGCTATTTGATAATGATAACCGTGTACGTGTTTGGATTCGTGATTTGAATTCGTGATTTGGATCATTTGATGATTTTGTTGAGGCCTGAGATAATATGTGATAGACGGTAGTAAATGCTTGAGAGATAGTAGATTGTGTAGTTATTAGAATGTTCGTGGTGGGCCATGGTAGAAGAGTTTGTGAAGAGTTTGTGATTGTAATTGCGGCGTTGGTGGTTATGGCAGTGAAAATGGTAGTGGTCGGTATGGACGTTGAAGATGCGAATAGTGGTTTGCCTGGTAATGATGTTACAGATGTGACGGTGGCTGGGAATGTCAATGTAACGTTAATTGGTGATTTGACTTGTTGAGATGGCGAAGAACTATCCGCGAAATGTGGTTGTGATATACTCAACATTAATGTTGGGCTGCTGTAAAGATTGGAATGCCGGATGGTGTGCGGATATTAGCAAGGGTTGAAGTAGGGCTGCTTGACTGTGAAGAAATTGGGGATGATGGTAGTGATGTAAGTTGTGTTACGTTTAAATCGGTAACTGGATTTATTGAGTTTTTCAGATCGAAATAAGCGGCAACCATAACGGCAGCAGGTAGCGATGTTTTGGATAATGTACCACAAGTAACGCTCATCTACAGATTCGCTGACCCTTTTCTGAAAAGACTTACTTGGCTTCTCCTCCGAATTTCCACACTCGTCAGTGACTATACGTATGTACGTCCGTCACACTGATTAGGGACTCTATGTATGTACGTCCGTCACACTGCTACATGACTATATGTATGTACGTGCGTCACACTCACTGATCACTATATGTATGTACGTCCTTCACACTGATTAGGGACTCTATGTATGTACGTCCGTCACACTCACTGGTCACTATTTGTATGTACGTCCGTCACACTCACTGGTCATTATATGTGTGTACGTCCGTCACAGCTCTGTACGGACAAACACACACACACAAACACTTTGTACTTTTTCGTATGACCGAATTTTTTTCGTATGACCATAGACTTACAGTCAAAGGGACAAGATCGACTTACAAAACAATGACTATTTATTATTTATTCTAGTGACGGTAAGTCTATAGCCATTCTGAATTCCAGACAATGCTCACGCGTCCCTTCGGTCCGCGTTCGCAGCCAGGACAAGTGTTATACTTCTCTGCTACCACAGAAAACTCGAACGCATCGACCTATGTGCATCTATGTCCACCACACTCGTCACTGACTATACGTATGTACGTCCGTCACACTTATTAGTGACTCTATGTATGTACGTCCGTCACACTCCTACATGACTGTATGTATGTACGTCGGTCACACTCATTAGTGACTCTATGTATGTACGTCCGTCACAGTCATTAGTGACTCTATGTATGTTTTTTCTCGTCTTCTATATTTGTTGACACCCTTCGATAGTACAGTTTTTTAGATGACACACGTTCACCAAAAAATGTTTTTGAGGAGTATTGTTTGTGCGACTCTCTCCCCGTATGAAAGTGTAGATTTTTGGCACGTATTTCGGCTAGGAAATAGTTTTGAACTGCAGCGGTAATACTGTCTGAGAGGTCTGGTGGAGTTCTCTGTGACACACGCGTTTTGGTGAGTGACACACGTGTATGAGAGAATGTTTGTCAGAAATATTGGTATATCAAACCCAGTTAACCTACTTAACTTTTATTCGTATCTGAGGTATATGATAAGTATATTATTTCCATTCATTCATCATATACCTCAAGTCAAAATCATTTATACACAAAACAGACGCATGAATCGCAAACTAGTAAATCCTCTTAAGTCCCCTCCCCCCTTAGAAATGATGATTTTCGGTCAAAAAATCGATTTTGGGATACGCACATGGAAAGATAGCCTGAAGTGTTAGCCTGAAGTTCTACAAATGAAAATTTCCTTGAGTTAGCATGAGATTTGATCGAGATATAAGGATTTTAATTTTTGCTAGTGACAGGCGAAAAACCGGTTTTTCACAACAATGCCTCTGGCGAAGTTAAATCCATTTCTTCACAAAAACAAATGTTGCTACTATGCTCAGCGTAGTCGATTACCTATAGTCCATGGCATTTTGAGATTCCCAGAGATGTCTGCTCGGAGATAGACACGTGCTCGGGGAAAGCGAGCCCTGCCCGAACAACGATAGCTAGAGAGCCGGACTTGCATAATTTTGTAGAGTAACGTCCGAACTATCTACGCATGCAAAAAAATTACTAACATTGTATGTTAGTTTTCTGAGAACGGAGCTGATTTTCCAAAGATCTTCTAAAATCCGATCTCTAGAATTTTTTCAAAAGTTGCTTTCGCTTGTGAAAAGTTTTGCTCAAGTCTTGGCTATTGAACAGCGAAAATCGCAGGTCTCTATCTCATTCCTATCAAAAGTTATTCAAAAAATGCCCACGGGTCTTGTTTTTTGGGATGGATAGTACAACCACGAAAATCTGTATCTCTACTAAATGAACCGGAACGAGATAATCCTGTTGGGAATTGTATACGTTGTTCACAATCACTTGTAGCAGTATCAAATTTTGTTGTAATACTTGTGGCTGTCGCAGCTGCTGATGTAGCTGATGGTAAGTGTGTAGTAGTAAGAGATTGTCTAAGAACAGGTCTTTCTTTAAATGCGTCATTTAAATTTATTTGTATCTCGTGTATAAAATCAATTTTGTATGTTTTGTTAATTACTACTTCATTCTCTCCGTTTAAATAAGCTTTTTCAATTATTTGATTGAAGTTTGATTCATATGGAGTAAATTGTTTTTCTTCATCGTTAAGCCATGGATCTTTATTTGATTTCCAAAACCACTGATATTTTATTTCGTTATCATCTTGATTGCTTTTATCATCATCACTACCCTGAGGAAAGATATGGAAGAGTAGTATAAAAGTGCTCTCTTTTTGATATAGACAGTAGTGTTGACTGTAGCTGAGTCTGTGAAAATACGTTAACTAGTAACTGCTAAACACAGTGAACACACGTACATATATAATTGATTTGATTTGAACTGAATTGATAGCTTTATTAAAGATATTGGTATATTAGTGATAAAAGTAAGAAATAACGGCGAACAAGTAAAATGCGAAAAATAATAAAAAAGAGATAACAAACGACGCGTTTCGGCTAGTAGCCTTCTTCAAGTATGAGCGATACTAATAAAAAGACAGTATATATATGCAGAAGCAAGCGAAATAAAATTAAAATAAAATGAAAAGGAGAAGGAGAAGACAAATCTAAATACTGTTTTGAATAGCCAGAAGGTTTTTCTAACAGATCAAGTGCATATGGCCAGCAAAATACGATATCTCCCGGCTGTCTATAACGCCTTTTCACCCGCTGCGGTCGATTTACGAATGGCTACAAAGGGCGTGATAATTACCAAAGTATTCCGGTGAAAAGGCGTTATAGACAGCCGGGAGATATCGTATTTTACTCAGAATTCCTTCATCTATCAGGCTATATGGTTTGTAAGAATTTTTGACCAGAAACCAAAGACTTGGTCTTCTAGCGGTCAGGCTTTCCAGAAACCCTATCATCGGGTTTTGTCATAAAACGGCCATATGCACTTCATCTGTTAGAAAAACCTCCGGGCTATTCAAAACAGTATTTAGATTTGTTCCAGCTTTCACTGAAAAATCAAAAGCAAAGGCGTTCTTGTGATCATGACACACCGTACTACATTTATAACATCCATGCTTCTTTTCCATATCTTTAATGACTGGCCCCCATCTGCCTAGATACTATGATCAGCTCAGTTTGTAGGGAATTTCAAGGGCTATCCAACAGTATAGCTATGAAAAATATATATGAAGAAATGAAACAGTTATTGCAAAATGACCTAAAGAAAAGCTACGCCGATTGGGCCAAAAACTGGATTTTTTCGGTAATAACCTCATAACTCAGCAAGACAAAAAAAATTCCTTGCATTTATAGCAAATTTCATGGCAAATCGAATGACGAAAGAATTAAGTTTGTGTCTATTACGAACAAAATCTGACGGCACTTTTCCTGGGTCGAGGTAAAACGCATTATTATATCGATCCGTGTGGATTTGTGGATCACTTTTATTCATTGGAAAATTTTAAAACTTACGTAGATCGATGCAGTTTTTCACGATGAGTCAGCATAACTAACTTTGAACGCTCCAAATAGTTGTTGTAACAAAATATAAAGTGATTTTTACAAAATTAGCCGTTTTTAGCAAAAAAACACGTTTTCTCGTTTTTCTCGCTTTTCTCAACGAAGACGCAAGTTACTCGAACTTTAAAGGTGATATTCTGAATCAGCGTAAAATTCTGCATCTAGGGATATGCAACAAGGGTGGATTACGAATTTCACTGTAACTTCGAATTTGGAGCGCCTTATATTCATAAAAACTACTATGCTCTAGATATAAATTTCTCTCTCATTCACACGAAAAACCTACAATATCAAGAAACTAAAATGTGTAGATATTCTCTAAAATAAAATAGACCATAATATCTCAGAACAACAAGAAGCTTCACTTCAGCCTTTTGCATAATACACTATCGTTTTCTTAATACTTGTTTTGTCCGAAAATCAAGCACGTTGGAAGTGGATAGCACATAAACCATCTATGTACTGTGAAAGTTAGACACTCGTGCCGCAGAACGGCAAAATCTTCGAAAGTTCATAATTTTAATTGAATTAGAAGTGCATAGATATTTCTTTTTTCATACACCTGGGATCTGGAAATTTCTGAGAGTTCTTACTTAGTTTTATGAGATATAAGTGCTAGACTAGGGTAGTCTAATTTGACACATTCTGAGCTGACAGGATGAAAAGCTGAAAGAATGGAAAGCTGACAGGATGAAAAGTTAAAAAGATGTAAATCTGACAGGATGAAAAGCTTAAACGATAAAAAAATGACAGGATGGAAAGTTCCAGAAACGTATATAAGGTGCTACATAGTTTTTATTATTTTCGAAAAGCATAGAAGCTAAAAGATAAATAGATCTAGAGAAATTTTTGTAAATTTCGACAGTATTTCAAAACAGAAAATGCTTCCACCCCTCATTTTTTTCTCATGGGTAGATAGTCCAGAGTGTCTTCTGCAAAATAAGATCTAAACAAAAGTTTCACTTTGCTTGGTTCTGGAGCTTCGGACGTTTCTTCAGAAGCCCTGAGGCTGCTCTACTCGTCGTTCTGAGACCTTTTGAAGCCATAAAAACATAGGTTATCGAATACACTGAATTTCGTGGCAATGTTAATTTTCAGAAGAAAAGTGCCAAGAACGGAGTGAAATCCTGTATTAGGTGAAATAACCCATTTTAAGCTAATTTCATCAAAAATTACAAAGTTCATAAGTCAGCCAAGATCCTATTCTTTTGAACAGCACATATACAGTATTGTGGCGCTTGAAAAGTTAATTCGAATGATGTATCGGGTAATTATTTTCAAAGAACTATTGATTTGCAAATAAAAATGTAAATCTCTGAACTGTCCATAAGCGGCGTTAATTAGGATTGATTAATGATTAATCTATATCCCAGCATAGCATTTTTTGAAATATCTTAAATGCGACCATAACTGAAATTGATTCTGGATCAGAGTCCTAGAATCACGTTTGTTTAATTAGTTTTGATTAAATAGTTAAGTTTTTAAAAACAGGCCCAGCAATTAAATGTTTTGCTAAAATTATCTTAATTAATTGATAATTCTGTGAATACTTATCAGTTCTCCGAAAACAGTGCAGGATATATGCAGCCAAGTATTCTCTACAATCTGAGAAGGTTTAATAGTACCTTTTGTGGGGGTGAGATTTTGATTAAGAAATAAAAAGAAAGTTCCATGGGATTTAGGCTGAGTGACAATTTAGATTTAAAACTTAACTGGATACTTTTACAACAAAAATTTATAGTATTCAATATTTAATCGAGTTTATTGTTCTGACTTATTCGAAATTGACTGCAGTGTTACGATAAAAAAATTAATAATAATGTCAAAGGTAAATAATTTAATACATGAATATGATCTGAATATTGATTGTATTAGTCAGATAACTGTTAATGGTAAAATACTTGATGTTAGATATCAAAATGCTAAAATAATAAAAATTTTAAAGTTTAAATTATGAGTTGAATTCTCTTATAGGTCAAATAATTTGTCGAACTTTCTTCTTAAATGTTTTCCGTTAAAACTTTTCTCTATCCTATGCAACTACTTTACTTTTTGTCGAATTTCACACTGAAAAATCATCCGATTTCTACCGAAAAATAGGAATCAATTAAAAATTTCGAAATACGCCTTAGTTGACTCATGTTATGATCCTAATTCCAAATATGATATTTTGTTGCATAGAGTTCTGTTGGAGATAATTGAGAATGACGAGTAGAATTTCGACGTTTTCGACTCTGATTTAGAATAAATGAATTTTCTCATCAACGAAAAAAAATTAGAAAAAAGCTCGACATATTTTTTTGAAGCTAAACATCAAGAGAATATATTTAGGTGTAAATGAAAATTCCCGTGACTCACACAAAAAACTTAATAGGTTTGCAAAATTATGTACTCGGACCTAAGATGGTCAGGTAGCGACGTCTATACTAGACGAGCTTCTAAGTTCGAAACTGATAAAAAAATATCATTTTTCTATTTCAACGCTGAATCAGACAAAAAAGATTTTAAAATTATACACAGAGAAATAAGGCTAAACTAGGACTTTTTCTGTGTCGAAGGATTTTTTAAATCGTAAATAAACACTGCCACGACAGTCAGAGTGGTCGAACGCCTATGTCTTTATTCATGTTTTGAGGATGCTTCGCCTGGACAAACACCTGAGATTAATGTTTTGTAATTGTTGGGTTGAGAGGCATAGGAGAGTAAAACCCATATTTGTCCATCTTAACAATATTCTCTTTTAAAACCAAGGCAATACTTGTGATCAGCGTCTTCAGTTGCATATACTCCACTACTTTTCCGAAAATCATGAAAAACTTTAGAAAACCTTCGTTGCTCAGAGACTCTCCCGGAATCCAGTGAATGAGGCTGGTCACGAGGTAGGGCATAACCGAATACCTATGAAAAAGCAGTTTTGATACGTAACTAATGTTTTGTGATTATTGTGTAAAGTCAGAAATGTCCCCTGTGCCTTGTCTACTCAGAAAGCCTAATGATTCTTAGAAAAATTTCATTCAAATCAACAATATTAAGAAAACAATTTCCGTTTCCAGATATGTTCGTTGAAAGAAGAACGTCAACTTTCTGTTGTTCATTTTCTCTCGTTTTTTCTACTTGCGATGGCATACGCTCAATTACACTTGTTCACCATTGCAGTAATTTCCCTTTGACGTTTATGCCCTGGTTCATAATTAGTTTTTCATAAAATAAGAATACACGCTTATTTTTTAATATGCGCTTATCTTTTCTTTCACGCTTTATCCTACGTGGGAAGCGAGGCAAAATATTTTCTTTAACTATAAATTTATTTTTAACCGTCTTTGTTCTCTTTAAGTAAATCTGTCCCTTGTAGTTAATTTATCATCGTCAGGAAAGTCTAGAAAGAATCATCAAAAGCTATTCTTTCTGCAGAAGCTTTACGAAATAAACTACTTTATACCTAAAAATGAGTTCTCCTGATCTAACTTATGTCACCTTACAGCTGGATCGATCTGTACCAGTCATCATACTAATACTAGGCACTGTGGGAAATGTTCTCAATACATGCATATTTCTTCGCAAATCATTACGTAAGTATCCATGTTCCATTTATTTTCTGGCGTCATCCATCGACAATTTTTTTGTGATATACTTTGTCCTTATGACGCGTGTACTAGCCGATGGTTACTCGATCGATGCAAGCTGGTATTCATTGGCCTATTGTAAATTTTCCTATTACATCCAGTACATCTTTATGTCTCTATCATCTTGGTATTTAATATTGGCTTGTATGGATCGTTATGCATCGAGTTCACAACACCTTCGTCTGAGACAGTTTTCATCATTGAAAATCGCCTACCATCTAATACCTACTGCGATAGTCGTTTGTTGTTTGATCTATGTGCATATGCCAATTTATTTTGAAATTAAACTATATCAAGTGAGTGCAACACAATTTGTTCATGCATGTTATGGTCGAAGTGGCGTATATAAACAATTTTTCAACATTTTTTACGTCACCATCTATTGTTGTTTACCACCTTTGTGCATGATTGTGTTTGCATGTTTGACCTATCACAATGTCAAACAAATCCGTCGACAAGTTGTGCCATCCTCTAATAATCAGCAACTACGACGAATGAAACAACGTGATTACCAGATGATCCAAATGCTGTTATTTCAAATTACGCTAACAATTTTGTTAACATTACCCATTGCCATAACGGTTTTATATACAACGTGTTTTGGTTCCGATGTAATTCAAAATTTTATATTGAAATTAGCCACCTATTTACTGTACATTAGTTTTATATCAAATTTTTACATAAATACTCTGTCAACAAAAACATATCGATACGAATTGTATACGCTATTGAATGAATTAAATCTATATTTATTTCGCAGTAGTATTATCGCACGACATTTTAGTGTAAACCATGCACCTACAACGCACGGCACAGCCACTGCTCACATGCGAACAATAACAAGAGCAGAACAATAAAATGGACAAATAGACATGTGCGCCGCTGTCACAAACGCTAGGTTACAAACGGGACTATCCGACTAGAGAACTTTTTCGCTCATGCTACATTTAAGTTTAATGGAGTTTATGAATATGAACGCTTAATTCCTTGTGACGTATAGCTATTGCTGACTATCGTGTTTATCGATATTTTTCATGTTGTTATCACATGATGTAGTGTAAATAATATTCGAATGGTATTCTAACTTTTCAGTGACACTTTCAGCTAATGGTAGACTAAAATCACTAAAAATTTCATCTCTTCATCTCACTCCGTTCTTGACTTACAGAGTGATTAAATTTTCCAAAGGTGCGCTATAGAAGCTCCTCATAATGACAATGTTAGGAAATCGTTAATTCTTCACCAAAACGATTGACATTTCCAGAGATTGAGAGAATTTGGATGAGTTAGTTCTATTATACAACAAAACATGGTTAGGATTCTCAGACAACTCCTTATAAAACAATTGTTCACGAACATAAACGAGATAATTTCGATTTTTCGGGGTGTGGATCAGTCAAACTTCCTTCTATTCTAGAAGTTTGGGTGAAGAATTAACGATTTCCTAACATTGTCATTGTAAGGAGGTTCTATAGCGAACCTTTGGAAAATTTAATCACTCTATAAGTCAAGAACGGAGTAAGATGAAGAGATGAAATTTTTAGTGATTTTAGTCTACCAGTAGGCGACTTATAAGCAGATTTTTCAACCTTTCCCTACGCGTGTACTCCGAGATACGAAATTTTTAATTTTTCCTTGTTTACGTAGAGAAAAGATAAAAGTCTTCGCAACTTTGAAGGAAGCACACGAACACAAAACCTTTTAGAGTTTTTACTAGCTCAGTATGCTCTGTTGATGGATGTATAAACCATTGAAACGGACATCTGGGAAAGACTCCTCGTAGGGGTATATGCTTTTTCTTTTTTCGACATTGATCAAGTTATGGCGATGTTTGGAACTTTTAAGGAATTACTTAGCTGCTTATGCTACCTGTAATTGTAAACACCATGTGCTCGTGTCTCATCTCATTTAGTGTCATTTATGCAGTCCATTAACACTTTCATTGATGTAATCAAATATTCCCAGTGTGACTTTCAAAACAGTTTTGATAGATGCATTACTTAACAATTTCACCTACGGCTGATCGTGTTGAATTTTCTCGCTCAAAAGGGAAAGAAGTACACAAAACTAAGAAAAATTTCTTTCGAGATTTGCAACAACATGTGACTAAAAGGCAGTACAGCTTTCTGTTGTATCTTAAAATGTTAGTTATGCAATGCGGATTAATATTTTTTCCCAACAGGCTATCCTCCGCAGAAATTCTGTTTCCGTTTTTCCTTGTGACGTATTGCTGACTATCGTGTTTATCGATATTTTTCATGTTGTTATCAAATGATGTAGTGTAAATAATATTCGAATGATATTCTAACTTTTCAGTGACAAAGCTAGAATCTAATTGTCATTTGACTGTAGGTTACATTTTGTTGATTATGCTTACATTCTCTGTGCTAGTAGTCTGATATGTATGAAAAACTTACGAAAGGTCTACTCGAATGTCAGTGAGGGGAATATCCCCGACCCTCCGCCTCTTGTTCATCCTGAGAAAGAATAACCCTGATCTACATTTTTATTTGCAAATCAATAGTTCTTTGAAAATAATTACACGATACATCATTCGAATTAACTTTTCAAGCGCCACAATACTGTATATGTGCTGTTCAAAAGAATAGGATCTTGGCTGACTTATGAACTTTGTAATTTTTGATGAAACTAGCTTAAAATGGGTTATTTCACCTAATACAGGATTTCACTCCATTCTTGGCACTTTTCTTCTGAAAATTAACATTGCCACGAAATTCAGCGTATTCGATAATCTATGTTTTTATGGTTTCAAACGGTCCCAGAACGACGAATAGAGCAGGCTCAGTGCTTCAGAAGAAACGTCCGAAGCTCCAGAACCAAGCAAAGTGAAACTTTTGTTTAGATCTTATTTTGCAGAAGACACTCTGGACTATCTACTCATGAGAAAAAATGAGGGGTGGAAGCATTTTCTGTTTTGAAATACTGTCGAAATTTACAAAAATTTCTCTAGATCTATTTATCTTTTAGCTTCTATGCTTTTCGAAAATAATAAAAACTATGTAGCACCTTATATGCGTTTCTGAAACTTTCCATCCTGTCATTTTTTTATCGTTTAAGCTTTTCATCCTGTCAGATTTACATCTTTTTAACTTTTCATCCTGTCAGCTTTCCATTCTTTCAGCTCAGAATGTGTCAAATTAGACTGCCCTAGTCGAGCACTTATATCTCACAAAACTAAGTAAGAGCTCTCAGAAATTTCCAGATCTCAGACACCATCCACTCCTTGATGTTGCTTGATAGCGAGTGGTGCCGTAACTTCTTATTGACACTACCGGCGGTGGCAATAGAGCTAATTTTTTTCTTCTTAGCATAAATTTAGGAAAAGCTGCCTTTAGGGTAAAAATACAATATTTTGTGTTATTTTTGATTTTTCAGTATGTGCCGAGAGGAAATCGTGTTGAAAATTAAATTTTATGCACTATTGTATCTAGGTTCAACTCTAAGAAATACTTCTTCGTGGTGAATAATCGTAATTAGACTAATCTGACTGAACGTCTTCAAGTTCAATTCACTAGTTCATGAGAACAGAGCGAAAAACATATATTTTTAGTTGTGTGTTCCTGTGGTACAGTAGAGTACGAAGCAGATTAATAATCCTTATATACAAAGTTCGAATGTCTGGAGGAACTTCGTTTTGTTTTTGTTTTTTCTTTCAGTATTTTCATTATATATATACCCGCCGTAGCTAGTACTGAAACGTGTTAGCTACTTTGTCCCACCGCAGCTATGTGCACCTGCTAAATTTTACTCTTTTAGCTAGCTGCAGTTACTGGAGAAGCGGGCGAAGCGGTTGGCCTGGTTGAAGCAAATATTAATCCGCATTGCATAACTAGCATTTTAAGATACAACAGAAAGCTGTACTGGCTTTTAGTCACATGTTGTGGCAAATCTCGAAAGAACTTTTTCTTATTTTTGTGTTCAAATTTCATCTCTTCATCTTACTCCGTTCTTGACTTATAGAGTGATTAAATTTTCCAAAGGTTCGCTATAGAACCTCCTCACAATGACAATGCTAGGAAATCGTTAATTCATCACCCAAACTTCTAGAATAGAAATTATAAGCAGACTTTTCAACCTTTCCCTACGTGTGTACTCCGAGATACGAATTTTTTAATTTTTTCTTGTTTACGTAGAGTGCCTATCCGGAGTATATCTCATCAAAACTTCAAACAGCATTGTATGAATAAAAATCGATATTCCCGTTCATATCTCTTCCATTCTTGCTTGTCTTTTTGTACGCACTTTTCCCAGACAAAACCACGTTTAACACGGAACTTTTAGTGTCATTAAATAGAGCGGCCATCTAGCTATACAGCCGACATATTGTAAGGAACAAATGCGCAGGTTAGGTTGTAAAGGTTTTCAGATTCTAGAAGCGTTCAAAAAATAGAAACTCAGTTTTCGTCGGTGGAGGAGATTATACTTCTTTAAAATAAAGCAACTTTGAACTCATGTTGTCATAGCATACGAAACCGAAGCCAGCAATATTTAAGACACTGTTTTCGACTTTGGACTCTGAAAACTCCTGAATTCTAACCCATCGGCAAAAAGGGTGTTGCATTTTTGAAATCAGCATATTAAAGTATGCCCAAATACGAATTTGTACAAAAATGGGCGGGGCAGGGACAGTGTAAACTTGCTTTGTGAGTATAAACGTCAACTCCTCTCAATACTGAACTTTAGAAGAGGAGTTTCACAAATGCTCATGCGGAATAGTCATATTGTCAAGTTTCGTCTCTCTAACCACGAAGAGTTCGCAAGTGATAAATCACTTTTTGTATGAATAGTCAAAGGTGTTCTCTACAAAATCAGATCCAAACGACAGTTTGAAAATCCTTGGTCTGGGAGCTACGGGCATTTTTCTTGAAGGCTTAGGACTCCTCTGCCGTTAGGTTTGGAACTGTCAGAAATGAATGGAAACATAGGTTACTGACTATGCTAAATCTCATGGCAATATTTGTTTTCGGAACAATTCTAAAAACCTAATGAAAACGCGATTAGGTGAAATATCCTATTTTTGCCTATTGCTGAGTAAAATTGAAAAATACATAACTCAGTCAAGATCAGTCCAAGGTATATCAGAATATCAAGGTATACTCTAGTTTACCTGCTCTATACTATGCAGTTTATCAGAAGCTTTATAAATGGAAAAATAGAAAATCGTTTGGAGCAGGTAAAATAGATACATCTTGTTATTCTAATATACTTTGGGCTGATCTGGACTGAGTTATGAATTTTTGAATTTTACTCAAAAATAGGATATTCCACCTAATGACGTTTTCATTAGGTTTTTAGAACTGTTTCGAAAACAGATATTGCCTTGAGATTTAGCATAGTCGGTAACCGTTTTCATTTCGTTTTCCTTCATTTCTGACAGTCCCAAACTTAGCGGCAGAGGAGTCCTAAGACTTCAAGAAAAGCGCCCGTAGCTCCCGAACCGCAGATTTTCGAGATGTCGCTTGGATCTGAGTTTGTAGAGAACACCTTTGACTCGGCCATATATGAAAAATACTCATATATTTCTATGTAAAATTTTGAAATTATAAGCTAGTTCGCCAGAGATCCATGCAAAAGCTTTGGTTTTTGCATGTGACTACGTGCCCCGATCTTAGCTACGCGATGGCGAAAATTCGATCTGGATAGCTCGTTTGGTCCTCGAGTTATTCAAGTCGCAATCATCCACACTATATATTGAAACGTAAAGTAATTTATTTTGTTTTAATAGTCTTTATTTTAGATTTGTTTATTTAGTTATTTTACATTAGCTTTTTGTCATTATCCGTAGAAAATAAAAAGTTAAAATATTTATAATCGACATCAAATATGAAATTTATAG